ACCACGTTGGCTAGGCTGCTCTTTAACTCCTGACCTCAGGTGATTCATCTGCCTTGGCCTCCCAAAGTGCTGGGTTACAGGCATGAGCCACTGTGCCTGGCCACTGCAGTAATTTTTAAAAAGGTAGATTTACATATACAGGCAAGAAAAGATCCCCAAAGCACAGCATTGAGTAAATAAGTTGCAAAATGATCCTTACAGCATTTTCTTTTTAAAGGCCCAAACTATATTTTCCCGATTTCCTACTCTGTTACATACATACAGGCATGGACAAAAAAATACAAAGCAAAGGATTAGCAGTAAGAAGGGCAATAACATTCTGAGTACTGTTCAAAAGGTGTTTAGCTTTGTAATAATGTTTTAAGATTTTTACAAGAAAGACGCTTGCCACAAATGATATTTCCTAAAAGAAAAAAATGTAATAGTTAACCTTTCTTCTGTTGAGGCAAGGTAAGTGAACTTGCATACATCATAAATAAGATTTTCTTTCTTTACAAGAAGGAAGAACTGAGATTGTTTTTTGAATGCAAGTTAAATACAACGTACAATACCTGGGTAACTAAAGGTAATCAGATGTAAAATGAAAATCAAGGGACTCGGTTAGTGAAAAAAGGTTACAGAACTATATTCACGAATTCAAGACATTTATTGAGCATTGTACTCTGTGCCAGCCACTGTGTGGTACTGGGGCTACAGCAGCTAACCAGACAGATGCCCCACTTCTCTGAGCTCACTGTCTAATGGAAGAACCAGACAATAATAAATGAATATAGAGTATGTCAGGCAGTGAAAAATGTGGCGAAGACAAGTAAAGGAGAGTTTGGAGAGCCACAAGGAGAAACTGGAACTCTCACATATTGTGGACAGGACTGTAAAAGTGCAGCTGCTTTGAATGACAGCTTGACAGTGCTTTAAGTTAAACATAGTTTCCATGTAACCTAGCAATTCTACTCATAAGCATACTCCCAAGAGAACTGAAAACATGTTCATACAAAACTTGTATACAAATGTTGTGGCATTATTACTTTTGAGATGGAGTCTCACTCTGTCGCCCAGGCTGGAGTGCAGTGGCGTGATCTCTGCTCACTGCAATCTATGCCTCCTGAGTTCAAGTGATTCTCCAGCCTCAGCCTTCCAACTAGCTGGGATTATAGGCACACGCCACTATGTCCAGCTAATTTTTGTATTTTTAGTTAGAGATGAGGTTTCACCATGTTGGCCAGGCTGGTCTTGAACTCCTGACCTGAAGTGATCCACCCAACTCAGCCTCCCAAAGTGCTAGGATTATAGGCGTGAGCCACCACGCCCGGCTGTGGCACCATTATTTCTAATAGTAAAGAAGTGAAAACAACTCAAATGGTCATCAACTGATGAATTATACACAGAAATGTGGTGTAACTATAGAATGGAATATTTGGAGTCAAAAAAGAATGATGGTGTACTGACAGATGCTACAACACAGAAGAACTTTGAAAACATGATGCTAAATGAAAGAAGCCAGACACAAAAGGCTACATATTATATGATTCCATTTATATGAAATGTTCAGAATAGGTACATCTATAGAGACAGGAAGTACATTAGTGGTTTCTAGGGGTGGGGTGATTGAAGAGTGATTATTAATGGATATGGAGTTTCTTTCTGGGGTTATGAAAACATTCTGGAATTACGAATGATGGATGCATAACTCTGAATATACTAAAAACCACTGAATTTTAAATTTTAGAAGGGTAAATTTTATGGTATATAAATTTTATCTCAACTTAAAAAAATTTTTTTAAAGAGTAAACAGGGATAGACAAGGAAGAAAGTTTGCTATTTTGGATAGGGTGGTCAGGAATGACCTTAGTTTGGGCAGCGAGCTGAACAATGTAAAGAAGCTACTCGTGCAAATCAGGGAGGTGGAGGAACACTCCAGAAGGAAGAAAGATCAAGTAAGAAGACTCTGGGAGTAGACATATGCCTGTTTTGAAAGAACAGCAAGGAGGCCAGCCAGTGTAGCTCAGTGCAGTGAGCAAGGGAGTGAGGCTGTAGAAAGCCAAGGTCTAGGTCATGTGGAGGCCCTGTAGACCATACTGAGGACTGAACTTTATTCTAAATGATTAAAAAAAAATCACTGAAGCCAGGAGCAGTATGATTAGATACACATTTAGTTAATTAATTAAGAGACAAAAATCTCACTCTGCTGCCCAGCCTGGAAGGCAGTGGTGAGATCTAGGCTCACTGCAGCCTCTGCCTTCTGAGTTCAAGCAATTCTCCTGCCTCAGCTTCTTGAGTAGCTGGGATTACAGGTGCATGCCACCACGCCAAACTAATTTTTGAATTTTTAGTAGAGACCAGGTTTCATCACATTGGCCAGACTGGTCTCAAACTCCTGACCTCGAGTGATCCGCTGGCCTCAGTCTCACAAAGATCTGGGATAACAGGCATGAGCCACTACACCCAGCCTCGATGCACATTTTAAAAGGTTTATTTCTGATACTTGTGGAGAATAAACAGCAGCAAGAGTGAAAGGAGAGACTTGTTGGAGGCTACTGCAGTAGTCCAGGCAAGAGAGATGGCTTAGGTTAGCACAGGTGGTGAAAAGTGGTCAAATTCAAAACGTACTCTGAGGTTAAAGCCAAAAGAATTTGCTAATGAATCAGAGGTAAGGCATCAAATAAAAAGTCAAAGATGACCTCAAGGACCATAGTCTGAGCAAAGGAGTGAATGAGAGGGCCATTTACTGTGATGGGAAAGCCTCAAAGAAGACTGAGCAGAGTTCAGTTCAGTTAATCTTAAATTTGAGGTGCCTAATAATCTAGTTGCATATACATGACTGTAATTCAGTAAAATGATCTGACTGGAAGTATAAATTTGAGAGCCATGGCAGAAGGTGTTTGAAGCCACACAAATGGACAATTCACCAAAGCAGAGACTGGAGAGTCCAAGGGCTGAGCCCTGGAGCAGTTAACATTTAGACACTTAGAAAACTTGGCACAATTTACATCACCTATGAGGGTGAGCCCATTAAAGGAAGAATACAAGGATGCTGCACTTTGGTTATTCTTCCAGAATTAGATGATCTAATGAATAAAAGTTCCTTCAAACCAAGATTTTTGGGATCAAAGGTATGTTTTCTCTATTTTCAAAGATTTCCTCTTCTTCTATTTCTTCAGTTTGCTCACAGACAGCAGACCTGTTGACCTACCAGATTCTCTCAGATTATTTATCTGCAATATTTGTTGCTTTAAGGATTTCAAGTCAAATCTCTAGCAACACAACACCAATAAAATGATAAAGTAATAATCTAGTTTGGGGTATGTTATTTTATCCTAGAAGATTCAGTTTCACTATTAAAATAACAATTAGGTCTGCTTTTCTTAGGTATACACAAAAACAGAAACAGTCCTTGTCATGGATTATTTGCAGATATACAGTGTTTTGGTGGGTAGAGGCAAGGAAAACTATTTTGCTTAGTTGGCAAAAAGTCCAAGCAAAATAATCCAAATGCTTGCGGTGGTGACAATTGTGCAATGGGTACTTCAAAGTTGTACAACATAATTCATTATTTAAACACTGAAGGCAGTGGGCAGTATAAACATCAAGAGTTTCTGCCTTTATGCTAAATAGCATTAGCTTTCTCATCTGGGAAATGGGAGACAATAGTACCTCCTCTACTTATCTCATTAGGATTAAGTGAATCAAGGTGCTCTGCATGCTGTAGCATGCAATGCAGTTATTATCATTATTTTCTTTACAGGGACTAACTTGCCAGGGAAGCTTTTAAAGAACTACAATAGATGGTCAAACTTCAGATGATAAGGATTTTAAAACCTAGCTAAAGATTTGTAAAATCATGTACATCCAGGGATAACAATTACAGAATTGTTTCAAGTAGCAAAAGATTAGAAATAACTTAGAAATTACTTGAACGTCCATCAACAGGGGATTAAATTATGGTCCACCCTACAATGGACTATAAAGCAGCCCTTAAAAATCTAGCAATAAGGCCAGGTGTGGTGGCTCATGCCTGTAATCCCAGCACTTTGGGCGGCTGAGGCGGGTGGATCACCTGAGGTCAGGAGTTTGAGACGAGCCTGGACAACATGGTGAAACCCCGTACCAAAAATAAAAAAATTAGCCAGGCATGGTTGTGTATGCCTGTTAATTCCAGCTACGCAGGAGGCTGAGGCAAGCGAATTGCTTGAGCCCAGGAGAGGGAGGTTGCAGTAAGCTGAGATTGTGCCACTGCCCTCCAGCCTGGGTGATAGAGACTCTGTGTCAAAAAGAAAAAAAAAAAAAAAAAAAAAAAAGAAATTAAAAACCTAGAGATAATTTTACAGGTACCGGTAAGAAACCATCCTAAGATGTTTAAGATGTATGTGAACAAAGACTAGGTGCAGAACAGTATGTAGAGTTTGCTTCTATCTTTAAAGATATATATATGATTATGTATATGTGGAATATCTCTGAAAGGATATACAATTAATGCATCACTAGATACCCTTTGTATCATCTCAACTGTGTTCCTTGTTTGTAGTACTTACAAAAATAAAAGTTAAAATCTAGCCACAAAGCCTCAACTACCAGCAAGGTCTACAACAGAATGGGTGGTTATTATCTTCAATATAAAAAGTGTTCTTCAAATGAAAAAAAGAAAAACTTGCCAAAAGACAAATATTAATAGATCCAGATTAAGAATTGGCATGTAACAAAAGAAATATGGCTAGTACATTTAAAAAATATTCATCCTCCCTAGAAATAAAACAAAAAAAACAAATAGTACCAGTATTTTACCCATCAGGTAGGAACTTTAAAACAAATTTTACACCTAATATTTGTGCATGTATCTGAAACAGGAATGCTCATACTTTACTGGATAGAGTTGGCTGTTACCTTCTAGCCAGAGATATCAAACGTCTTAAAACTCGTATACACAGCCCTTTTAATCTCACTCAGCAATGCCACGTCTAAGTACGGAGCCTGAGGAAATAATGAAACATACAAAAATATGTATGTAATGGAAATATAGTCACAGTTTTAATTATAATGGCAAGTCATGGGAGGCAAGCCAATATTTACCAGTAAAACATTAGTTAATAAATTATGATACAATCAAGTAGCTACTAAAAGCTAAGTTTCCAAAGAATATTTAAAAGTATTTTTTAAATGTCCACAGTACATGGGAGAAAAAAGGGTTAAAGAAAGAACTGCATACATATTCTGATCTCATAGGTAGGGGTGAGAAATATGCACCCAAAGAAGCCTGGAAAGACATATACTGAAATGTTAAAACTGATTATTTCTGGGAGTAGATAATGGGTGATTTTTGACTTCTACTTTTTGGTTTCGCTCAGATCTTTTTTTTGCATGTATTGCTTTTGTACTTGCGGGGAGAACAATAAATGGTATTTTTGGGAGAGGGAACCACAGAAGATAGAAAAATCTATTATGCTTTTTCATTCTTCCCATTTTTAAACTACTAAGAATCAAGATACTTTATGTGTAAAAAAACAAAATGTCTAGGGAGATTCTTTAGTAATAAAACTATCACATTTAAAAGGGTAGAAATACTGCTTTATTGGATAAACTTACTTCCAAATTACTTTCATGTTTTTAAAGAAGTCCTAATGAGCATTCAAGAAGAAAACATATACTGCTTCCACAGGAATAAGGACAAATAAAATGGGGTTGACGTTTGCCACAAATGATATTTCCTAAAAGAAAAAAATGTAATATTTAACCTTCTTTTGTTGAGGCAAGGTAAGTGAACTACATACATCATAAATAAGATTTTCTTACTTTACAAGAAGGAAGAACTGAGATCCTGTTTTTTGAATGCAAGTTAAATACAAAATACAAAATCCACTCTCTGACCAAGATGAGGGGGAAAAAAATCATTCTTCAACATTTCAATTCTCATGCAATGAAATCCAAAGGTCTGTTGAATCCACCTTTCCGATTCATGTACTGCCTATGATGAGAAGAGAAAATTCATTGTTTGTTTTTTTTAAATCCTATACTCCTCTTATAAAAAAAGTAACATACTTCAGAGATTAAACCTATAAACCATCTTTAAAATAGCAAATTCTACGGTAGATACTATTCAAGATAATTTAACGTATATTTAGAGATTATTTTACTTTCAAAATAAGCCAAAGACTTTCAGATTTCTTTAAACTCCAAATAGCAGTATGGAAGTTTAATTTTGAAATTTTTTGAGAAGATTCTATAGACTTAAAAAAAAAAATCAATGGAAAATCTTTATTTATTTTAGGTAACATGAAACATGTAATTTAGAAATAGAGAAGAGTTCCAAAACAGGCACCCATTGAGCAAATTCAATTGCACACTATAATGCTTCTCCCCATAAGACCTTACTTGAAGGTAATTTTACAAAAGACTGTCCAAGATGATTCTCGTACCTTAGCTTACAGCATTCTCAATCACGTGATTCATAGTCTAAATTAACTGGACTATTAATGTTTTATCAGTGATAAAATTAAGGAGAAAGGCAACGTTTGAAAATATCTTGACTTTTTCATTCATTAAGAATTCAGGGCCGGGCTTGGTGGCTCACGCCTGTAACCCCAGCACTTTGGGAGGCTGAGGCAAGCCGATCATGTGAGGTCAGGACTTCAAGACCAGCCTGACCAACATGGAGAAACCCCGTCTCTACTAAAAATACAATATTAGCTGGGCGTGGTGGTGTGCACCTATAATTCCAGCAACTGAGGAGGCTGAGGCAGGAGAATCACTTGAACCCAGGAGGCAGATGTTGCAGTGAACTGAGATCACTCCCCTGGGCAACACGAGTGAAATTCGACTTTAAAAAAAAAAGGCTAAAGCCCTTTTCCGCCTTAGCCCACTTGCACCCAGGTGAAAAGTAAAAAATAAAAAATTCAGTGAGATTTCATGTATGGATTGGTTTGTTTCAAAATTGTGGTACAAATAAAATACGCCTACACTTAACAGAAGAATGTATTTACAGCTGAAATCCTTACATAATCAATCTAGTGCAGGAGGGATCTATTTTATACCTATAATTATAATGAAATCAAAGCTCATAGACTTGAAATTACGCTTTTCTGAAAAAACTGTTATCTATAGTCCTAAAATAGTTAAGCAAACTACCCTCTCTAACAGCTATTAGTTCAAGTGTAAATGGGAAAATAATTTTAACACAGCAGAATATTAGCAATGCCGGTAATATTTCATTAAAACAAACAGTATGGAAAACTGCTACATTTCCTAGAAACATGATTATCCCTTAATAAAGTTCTAACTACAACACTGATTTATCAGTTCAAATATAATAATGGGGGCTATGCATACCTGTACTTCCTCTTCTGAGAGACATTTATGGCATAGGCATTTACAGAGCCATCCACCTTCTTACCCTGAAGAAAAACAATAGACAAAAAAAACCCCAGGAAGGATACATTAAATCAGGATTACATTAAAGCAGGTGTGGTGGCAGTGGCATGTACCTGTAGTCCCAGCTACTTGGGGGAGGCTAAGGTGGGAGGATCACTTGAGCCCAGGAGTTTGGGGCTATAATGAGCTATGATCCACATCACTGCACTCCAGCCTGGGCAACTGAGCATGATCCAGTCTCAAAAAGGGGAGGGGCGAGGGGGGAGGAGGAGGAGGAAGAGGAAGGGCAGGAGGAGTGGTAGTAGCAGGAGCAGGAGTGGCAGTAGTAGTAGTAGGAGTAGGAGTAGTCGTCCAAGGAGGGAGAATTTCCAGATCCTACGAACTCCCAAGTGGGACAACTCTCTGCTCACACTTTTACAATTGTACATAAGCAATTAATATTCAAGCCAACAAACATTTACAGTGTATGTACTATATGCAAGCCATGCTGAGAAAGTAGGGTAGCAGATTCTAATCTTTTCTGGTCAAAGAATATTTTGAAACCAGATAAAAGATACAGATATAACCACAGAAAAATTCACATTCACACAAAATTTAACTTACAACCTTAGATAATAATATTCTCAAATCATGGCTGGAATGGTTGCCATTCATCTAAATCTCATTTCTTATACGAGCCTTGCAATTTTTTGTTTAAAAAGTTATTATTTTTTAGAAACAGGGTCTTGCTGTCGCCAGGCTGGAGTACAGTGGTGTGATCATAACTCACTGCAGCTTCAAACTCCTGAACTCCAGTGATCCTCCTGCCTCAGCCTCCTGAGTAGCTGTGATTACAGGTAGATGCCACCAGACTGGGCTAATTTTTAATTTTTTTCTGTAGAGATGTGATTTCACTATGTTGTCCAGGCTGGTCTTCAACTCCTGGCCTCAAGCAACTCTCCTGCATTGGCCTCCCAAAGTGCTGGAATCTCACGTATGAGACCTTGTGCCCAGCCCAATTTTGATCTTTAAATAAGAATCAGAACAGAATAACAGACATAAATGTTAGGCTGTTATGTGTCACTCTATCTCGACCTTTCTAAATGTAACACCTGCCCTCTTTTTCACTAATTCTTGTTCAGGTCTTCTGATCCAACCAAGTCAACTCAACATATCTACTTTCCCCCATGTTGTTCCTCATGCCTGAACTGCCTTCCCTGCCTCCAACTTCAACTATCCAGTTGTCCATTGTTCAAGGCCCAATTCAGACATTCCAGTTGCCACTAAGTACCCTCTTCTCTAACTCCTGAAAAATGTTAACTTTTTTCCTCACGGTACTTTTTGCTTTCCTCACAGTACTCTCCATTTTCCACCCTGTATATCATGATGTACATCACAAAGTTACTTTCCCTATGAGACTGCAAGCTTCTTGATGGAGGGATGTCTCTAAGAGTCACCTTTGCATTCTCATATCCTACGCCACTGCACTCCCAGGTATTCAGAAAATGACTTAGATGAGTATCATCAGCTAATGTCATCACACACACAAGTGACCCCCCACCCTCCTCCCTATTCCATTACTACTTATGCAAGAGTAGCCTATCTGTGTAGTGTACTTAATTAGATATTGGTATCAGGGCAAAAACTGATTCTGACCCACAGAAGGCATACACAGAAGAATCATATATTTGAAGTGGAGCTAAAATAAATCTATTTGGTTTTACTTTTCTACTATTTTCATGTATTTTTTTGGGGGGGGTGGAGGGTGAGTCCTGAACAAATTACTCAAGGTATATGATTTTGAATTCCCAATAACAGGAAGTAGGCATGACTTAGAAAGACTGGCCTTGTGGACAAAAAAGTAAATGATGCTAACCTTTTTACAAAATTCGATTCCTAAAGGCTTACTGATTTTTGGAAACTATTTGCTGAGTTGCGTATTATTAGCCCTATCCTCATTTATTTACATGCTGGCATAGAAAATTATCCATTAATAAACATAACAAAACTTTGAAACTTCCTAGAAGAATGTAATTGAAGTAACTGCAGTTTTAGCCATCATTTTCAATGGCAAAAACCGCAATTACTTTTGCACCAACCTAACAAACTGAGAGGGAAAAGCCAAGCACACTGCCATGAGGCTGTAGTCCCAGCTACTTCGAAGGCTGAGGCAAGAAGATTCATTGTGCCAAGAAGTTGAGTCTAGCCTGGGTAACATAAGAAGACTCTGTCTCTTCAAAAATAAAAAACAAAATAGACTGAGGCAGGAGGATTTCTTCAGGCCATGAGTTCAAGACCAGTCTAGGCAGCACAGCAAGACCCTATCTCTGCAAAAAAATTAAAAAAATTATCTGGGTGTGGCAGCATGTGCCTATAGTCTCAGCTACTCCGAAGGCTAAGGTGGGGAGATTGCTTCAGCCCAGGAGGTCAGGCTGCAGTGAGCCATGATTACACCACTGTACTCCAGCATGGGTGACAAAACAAGACCCTGTCTCTAAAATAATTAAAAGTAAGGCCAGGCACAGTGGTTCACGCCTGTAATCCTAGCAATTTGGGAGGCCAAAGTGGATGGATTACTTGAGGCCAGGAGTTCGAGACCAGCATGGGCAACATGGAGAAACCCCATCTCTGCTGAAAATACAAAAATTAGCCTGGCCTGGTGGCAGGCGCCTTTAATCCCAGCAACTTGGGAGGCTGGGAAGGAGAATCACTTGAGCCTGGGAGGTGGAGGTAGCAGTGAGCTGAGATCGCACTGCTGCACTCCAGCCTGGGTGACAGAGTGAGACTTCATCTAAAAATAAATAAATAAATAAAATAAAAAATAATTTAAAAATGAAAATAAAACCAAATAGAAAGGAAAATAGATGACTACCCTGGCATTTATGACTTCTCACCTAATTTTTCCTTCATAAGCAAACATACTCATCACTGACTACATTTAAGTGATGGGTGGCACCATCCTTACATATGACGTTTAGGAGCTTCAAACTTAACATCAAGCAACAGGAAAACCAGAAAATGAAGAAAATAATTCCATTTTCTTTGGGGGAAAAGTTCCCTCCCCATTCATTATAAACAATAAAACTGTAGTTGCTTTACTTTTGATGTATTTTTATTCATCTAACATATATATTAATAAACTTTCATTTATAAAATACTATTTGGAAAAATAAATAAGGATTTAGGATATTCAAGGGTAAAAAAAGCTGACAAATAAACTTCATTAAATTCCAAAACAGAGTTCACATAACCATTTCAAGAACAAGAGCTTGTTCTTCTCACCTCAAAACAGTCATGCCTCAGTATTCCCACATTATTCACTGGCATTTTAAAACATGTGAGCCCTACACAGTCACATTAGTTAGAAACTCTTAAGCATCAGTGATTACCTCACTCCATTAACAATTCAATGGAATACAAGACTTGGAAAAGTGGATTTTTTGGACAATTTTTTTCTCAAACATCTCTATTTCTATTTGCAAAACTAAATGGAAAGATTTAAAATTCTAGTAAAAAAGATTTTAAAAAATATATTGTCTTTCTTTCCATACACCCTCCCTTTCTCCCTCTCTTCATTTCCTCTCTCTATATCCATTTCTCTCTTCCCCCATCTCTCCCTCCTCTACATAATCCCTCCCTCTTTTTCCTCTTCCCTCATCTCTCTGCTATTATGAAGGCTAGACAGCATTCACTCCCCTATCCACCCCACTTCTGAGCTGTGAGACATGTATGCAGCTGCCCAATGTCATCTCTATCTGGCAGCTGGATTTTGTTCTTCCATTTCCCAGCAGTTCCCCTTCCAGAAACTCTATTCTGGGTTAACTGTATCACTCAGGCTCCCAGCCTGACACCTAAGAGGCATCACTAGCTACTCACTCTCACTCCCTCCAGCTCCTGAATGGTTCTCAACTCAGTTCAGGCCTTCATTACTTTCACTTGCACAAATCAGCAGTGCTCTCTGCCTCCAATCTAACCCACCTTCCATCTGTCCTCCATGCTGCCCCCAGAGTCACTGTTCTAAAACACACATATAACCATTATCACTCCCTAGTTTAAAAACCACTACTTCCTCTCCTCACCACCTAAGGTATTAACTCTGAATTCCTTCGCATGGCTAAAGGGATGAAACGCCCTCTGTGATTTGCCTACTACTATTTCTAGCCTAAGTCACAAGCCCATCAGCACCCCTTTATCCACGGCTGAATTTGAAATTCCCAGAATACACTACGCTCCTTTACACCTATATGGCATTTTCATGAGCTCTTCTCTCTACCTGAAATAATCTTCCTCCTCTTCTTTGTTTAATCACTTCTACTTGCCCTTTAAGATCTAACTCAAACATTGTCCCTGTCAACCCCTCCCTGAATTCCAATGGCAGTTCATTGTTTACTCCTCTGTATTCTCAAAGCCCTTCACACAGATGTTGTCTAATAACCAAATAAATTTGTATAAATGGAAAAGAACATGGAAAAACAGGATAGTCACAACAGATTAATTCAAATGAGAATGTGTAATTGGTTGCACGTTTTACTTACTTTTGTGGAGTCAAAGGAGGCAAACCCCATTAACTTCATCATTTCTATTTCTTCCTCTGTTTTGCCCTCTAAGTCTTCCTCTGCACAAATAAATAATTTTATGACCTCTTTATCATTTCATATACATACATAAATAAAAAGAGAGGTAGTAACATTGTCATCCCACCTCACTAGCAGAGAACACACAAAACAATTAGCTGAAGATGAGTCTAATGAAAATTCCTCTTAAATTTGGATGCAATGTAACTTATGGTGCAAAAAAGTCTTCTTGAACCCTTTAAAAAGGGTTACCTTTTAAAAAAAAAAAAAAATCTGGGTTTCCTATTAAGGACTACCTTTTTTTTTGGAGACAGAGTCTTGCTCTTGTCACCTAGGAGTGCATTGGCATGATCTCGGCCCACTGCAACCTCCGCCTCCTGTGTTCAAGTAATTCTCCTGCCTCAGTCTCCTCAGTAGCTGGGATTATAGGCACACACCACCACGCCTGGCTACTTTTTGCATTTTTAGTGGAAATGGGGTTTCACCATGTTGCCAGGCTGGTCTCAAACTCCTGACCTCATCATCTGCCTGCCTCAGCCTTCATTATAGGCATGAGCCACCTCGCCCAGCCAGGCCTACTTTTAATATCAGGCATGACACTATCTAATTGTGAAGATACTTCCAAAATAGAATAGTCTCACATTTTTAACTACCTTCTCGATCAGGAGCACCATAGATAACCAGCAACTTGCTAGGGTGCAATCAAAATAAAACCTCAGGCTGGGTGTGGTGGCTCACACCTATAATCCCAGCACTTTGGGAGGCTGAGGCAGGCCTGAGGTCACCTGAGGCCAGGAGTTGGAGACCAGCCTGGCCACCATCGTGAGAACCTGTCTCTCCTAAAAATGCAAAAATTAGCCAGGCATGGTGGTGAGCACCTGTAATACCAGCTACTTGGGAGGCTGAGGCACAAGAATTGCTTGAACCTGGGAAGTGGAGGTTGTAGTGAGCCAAGATCTCACCATTGCACTCCAGTAGGGACGACAAGAATGAAACTCTATCTCAAAAAAGAAAACCAAAACCTCAAAATTATAGGCGATGAACACTATAAAAGGCTTAACATTTAAATGTTCAAAGATTAAACTTTTATAATTTTACCATCACTGTACTTTTCCTATAGTTATATATCTAGTAACATTACCAGTAATCTGCCGTTCTTTGCTCTTTGTTTCTTTTGTTTCTTTCTTTTCCTCATCTCTTCTTTCTTTCAGTCGAGAAGGGGAAGGAGATGTGGATCTATGTCGTCTTGGAGATCTAATATAAGCAAAGATAGTTAGAAACAGACAGACACACATTTCAACTTTGTATCAATCAGCACAGATATACATGAGCCAAGCTCCACAGAACCAAGAGTCATTCCCTATAGCAAAGTGAAGAAAAAGGTTTTGCTAAGGCCTTGACTGTTAACAAAAAAAAATTTTAAATATAGTTTACTGCTTACTCATCAGTTGCTTTCAGTACAACTAAGGCTAGAAAGCTTTCTGAAAGGCAGAAAAATGTAAATTAAGTTTCTAACAACCACACACAAACACACAAAAAAGCTAACTTAAACAGCAATTGATGCTTATTAAGACTCAGAGCTGGGTGGGGCTTGGTGGCTCACACTTGTAATCCCAGCACTTTGAAAAGCTGAGGATCGCTTGAGTCCAAGAGTTCAAAACCAGTCTGAGCAACACAGCAAGACCCTCTCTCAAAACAAAACACTCTGAGCCCATTTCCAACTTCTTCCAAGATCATCCATTCTTGATTACATACTTGAATAAATCATTATCGCCAAAAAGTTAATTAAAAAGAGATAAAAATATAAAATACTTATTTCTTCTTGCCAAGCACCATGCTCTGGTGTTTGCATGTATTATTTCTTATTTACTCCTCAAGACAACTCTGATGTAGAGTACTATTAACACCATTTAACCAAGGTGAATGTTAGCTTTAGAATAAGGTGGGATTAAGTTTCCTCCATTTCATGAAACTGTAAATCCCCTTATAAGCGATCAAAACAAAGTTAAGAGTAGCGACCAGTTTCTTAGGGACTTATGATAAATAAAGCTCTTGGCTTATTTTCTGCCCTTACCGGGAGCGTCTTCGGTGAGGGGATCGCGAGCGGCTCCTTCTCCGATCTCTCTCCCGAGACCTGGACCTTTCCCGGCGCCTGCGTTCTCTCTCCCGGGATGTGGACCGGGACCGCCTACGTTCTAATGCAAGCGCACACAAATTGCAGAACTGAAAATTACCTCAAATAGCTAGAGCTGCACCGTCCAGTAGAAACATAATGCAAACCATTACTAGTAGTCACATTAAAAAGGTCAAAAGAAACAGGTGGGATTAATTTGTTTTTAAACTCAGTTTAGCCAACCTATTATGATTTCAACATGTAAACAATATAAAACGTCATTAATAAAATATTTTACATTCTTTTCCAGGGAAATCCAGTGTTCTAGAGTTACAGCACTAGAACACACTGGATTATTGGAAAATCGAGGCTTCACTAGTTCAAAGTGATAAAAACTAATCAGGGCCCGGCGCGGAGACTCATGCCTCTAATCCCAGCACTTTGGGAGGCCGAGAAGGGTGGATCATCTGAGGTCAGGAGTTCCAGACCAGCCTAGCCAATGTGGCGAAACCCTGTCTCTACTAAAAATTCAAAAATTAGCCAGGCGTGGTGGCGCGGGAGGGTAATTCCAGCTTCTCGGGAGGCTGAAGCAGGAGAATCGCTTGAACCCAGAAGGTGGAGGTTTCAGAGAGCTGAGATCGCGCCACCGCACTCCAGCCTGGGCGACGAAGCGAGACTCTGTCTCACTAAAAGAAATAAAAACTAATCAGGGGCAGAACCGAGGGTCTAAGTTAGATCTACTAACGGAAGTCCAGGGTTCTTTATGGGGCTGGAAGCCAGAAAATACTATGAAGTGAGCTTCCAGGACTCAAAATTCTTAATATCGATTTCCCTGTAATGACCTGGGCAGGAATCTAACATTTATTAAGTATTTAAGAGCCAGACAAAATCACATACTGTATGTTATGGGATGTGACATTAATTCTCACATCAGTCTTTAAAAGTTGGCAATACTACCCTTAATGACTAATTCTGGGAATTCGAGACAGAAAGGCTGAGTGACTTGCCCACCCGTCACCCAGAAATTCAGCAAAGGACCCGAGGTCTAATTCTAAACCCACCGGCCACAGTGTTACAAAAGTTATTGTATGAAGGTGACAAAGAGTTACTGAAACTAATTCAGAGGGGAAAACAAAAGACAAAAAATTGCCTTCAAACCCGAGAGGGCGAGCTGAAGGGGGCAGGGCCAGGTCTACGTTCCTTCATCCACCCCTAGCTCTCCTTCTGGGTAAAAGGGCATGCCTCTCTGCGGCCCGGCTACCGAAAACAAAACTAAATGAAACAAAAGGGACAGGTCTCCGACAGGGCCCCACGTCCTCCGAAATGCTACAAGACTCACCCCTCCGTGGAGAGCGGCTCCGACTGCGACCCATCTGGAGTCCCGCTCCCCGGAAACGACTTGCAGCAACTTCCGGGAGGGCCGGAAACCGAGCTTTTACCGCCGACCAGGAAACGTCGAAAAGAGTTGCTAGGGTTCCGGTCTTCTTTTTTCACAGTGGCATTAAAACATAGGGTTTGGTGCTATTATAGAAATGCCTGGAAAATTCAGCCGTATACCCATCATCCTAACACAGCTTTTATTTTTCTCCCCCATTTTTGTCCACAAAATACAGCAGACCAACTGTAAACATAGCATAGACAGCTTATGTTTTTCCACTTTTCCACATAACATTCTCTCATAAGGAGTGAATATACCAAAGTTCGCCGTCCATCTGCTTAATATTTTCTCATGCCTGCATTGAGAAGGCACCCAAAACCTTCTATGGGCTCTTGAAAGGAAAACTAAAGGCCCCAAATTCCATCCTACCCCACAAAGTACATCCCCGAAGTTGCCTCTTTCCTCAGGGAAAACAACAACAACAAAAACTTTAGAATGTTCAAAACTACAAAAATTAGGAGAAAGACTGTCTTGCCCCAAAGTTGAATCGTCTGTGGTAGAACATAAATATGCTTACCAGGAAAGACTTGAACCTCTATTTCTTTTTAATTTTATCTTATTAAGTTCCAGGGTACATTTGCAGATTGTGCAGCTTTGTTACATAGGTAAACGTGTGCCATGGTGGTTTGCTGCACCTATCAACTCATCACCTAGATATTAAGTCCTGCATCTATTAAGCTATTCTTCCCAATGCTCTCCCTCTCCCCAACTCCTTCCCTACAGACACTAGTATGTGTTGTCCCTCTCCCTGTGCCCAGAAGTTCTCATTTTTCAGCTCCCACTTACAAGTTTGAACATGCAGTATTTCGCTTTCTGTTTCTGCGTTAGTTTGCTGAAGATAATGACTTCCAGCTCCATCCATGTCCCTGCAAAGGATATTATCTCATTCCTTTTTATGACTGCATAGTATTCCATGGTGTATATGTACCACATTTTTTAAATTCCAGTCTATCATTGTTAGGCATTTGGGTTGATTCCATGTCTTTGCTATTGTGAATGGTACTGCAGTGAACATACCCGTGCATGTATCTTTGTAATAGAATGATTTATACTCCTTTGGGTGTATAACCAGTAATGGAATTGCTGGGTCAAACGGTATTTCTGGTTCTAGGTCTTTGAGGAATCACCACATTGTCTTCCACAATGGTTGAACTAATTTACATCCCCACTAACAGTGTAAAAGCGTTCAACCTCTATTTCTAATCAAACCAACTCTTTTCAGTCAGCTGTCTCCAGAATTACCAAGCCTAGTGACCTGGCTTTTAAAATACAAAGAGCTGGGAGCTGTAAAGGGACTCCATTAGGTTGGAAAAAATGTCCACCAGTCACATAAATTTTTAATTAGATTTATACATTCAGAGTGGCCTCTTTAATACCTGTTCCAACCCAAACTTCCAGGAAAGATCCAGCCATAACATCTAGGATTTCTACCACCAGCCCTGACCCCCAGACTCCTTTGGAATTACCCAGGCAAAGTGTGCACTAGGTGTAGAATGGGGAGGTTCAAGGCCGGTTCAGGCCCCAGGGAAGAAGATTTAGCGACATCATTGGAGAAACACACCACTATTGATAGCCAGGCACGGTGTTGTACACCTGTAATCCCAGCTGCTTGGGAGGCTGAGGCAGGAGAATCGCTTGAACCCAGGAGGTGGAGGTTGCAGTGAGTTGAGATTGTGCCACTGTACTCCAGCCTGGGCAACAGAGTAGGACTCTGTCTCAAAAAAAAGAAAAAAGAAAAGAAAGAGAGAGAGAAAAAAGAGAAAAAAAATAGAAACACACCACTAATGATTGAAGAAACTGTCCACAGGGAAGACAGAAATTATGGGAAGCCTAAGAGGGTATGTACTAGATGTGTAAGAGAGGAAGAACATGGTGGCCTCAGGTGGTGGCTGAAAACAGTTCTCTTTCTCTTTCTCCTTCTCCCTCCAGGGCTGGGGTCTCATCTGATGAAAACACTTTTTAAGAAACCTTCTGGGACTAAAAATGACTGGAAGGTATGCTGGGGATCGGTTGAATGCATATGATGCCCAGGACACTATAGCACTGTGGCACTAGGATGAAAAGATGAGTAAGACATGGTCCCTGCCCTGAAGGAGTTTCCACTCTAGCTGTGGAGGTGGACAGAGTAAAAAAAACTCTTCACTATAATGTGGTAAGATAAAATATGTGCAGTGTGTGCTATGGAGACATGAAAGAAGGCTATTCAGCCTAATTTGTCCAAGAGGGTTTCCTGGAATAATAATAATAGATAATACATACTGTGCTAACTATATACCAGGCACTGTTATAAAAATGTTTATGTACACACACACACACACACACACACATGCAATTAGTTGAGCTGTGAGACTCAAAAGAAAAAAGTGTCCAGGTAAAGGGTAGGAGTAGCAGCAACAGCAAAGGTGCAGAGATGTGTCACACTATGACATGTATAAGCACTAAAAGAAGTTTGATACTCGTCACTTTGAGTTCACCATGGTGGACCTTACCGAGTACCTGGGTTATGGTTATGAGAGGCCACTGGAGCATTTCAGGCTGAGGAGTAACCTGACCAGATTTGCATTTTAGATGATTCATCTTGCTGCCAGATCTAAAGACCTGAGCCAAAAAGAACAGATGGAGGGAATGAGGGCTAGTACTAAAGCAGTGATGGAAGAGAATGAGAAAGAACAGAATCAGGAGACATTTGAGGAATAATAGCATGGCAGGTCTTGGAGGCTGGTTAGATCCAGGCAGTGGGAAGAAAGAGAAGAAATGACTCCCAGGCAGGGCCAGCTTCACAGGCATGTGACCTGTGTAGTCACACAGGGTCCTGGGCTTAGAAGGGCTTAGTATTCAGCTGTTTCTTCTCTTGAAATTCCTACTAATCTTTGAACAAGAGGCTCTGCATTTCCATTTGCCACTGGGTCTAATAAAAAGCATGCATCTCAAAGTGATGCCTACCAAAGTGAGAACGTCACAGTTTGTCAATTCACTACACAACTGAGACACGATGGTGAGTCTATGTGGGAGACAGTGGAGAAGGCAGTGAAAGGGTGATCCCTTTTTTACGAGAGCCCCTCTGTCAGTGATTAGTTTGGACCCTTCCCTGCTCCCCATATCCATTCAGGGGAACTCTCTTTGTACACATGTTCACTCCACAGCATGAGAACCTAGTTACACTTCTGCTTTTGGTGAGAGGGAGAACATGAATTTCATTTTGGAAGATTATTTAGTGTGAGAGACTTGATGAGTATCCAGATAGATGTATTTTTGGCAGGCATCTGACCATCTGCAGACTGAGTCTGATAATTAGGGGAGCAATCAGGACTAAAGATAGAGATGGGGGAGTGATGAATCACAGGAATCCATGAAATTGTCCCAGTGAGAAAAGTGTGCTCGGTAAGCTAAGGGTTGCCCCATGTGGGATTAAACAGACAAAGAAAGACCCACAAAGGAAGCAAGATGCAATTGTCAGGTAGAAAAACAGGAGTACAGAACAATGTGCCGGAAGTCAGAGGGGTGCAGTTTTGGGAAATAATGAGAATGGTCAGTGTAGCAAGCTGAGTAATGGCCACCCAAAGATACCTGGCCCTTTCCTCTGGCACCTGTGAATATTACCTTTATGGGAAAATGTTTACAGATGTGATTAAGAATATTGAGATAGGGAGATTATCCTGGATTATTCAGGTAGACACTAAACGCCATCACTATTGTCCTTATAAGGGACAGGCAGAGGGATGTTTAATACATGCATGAGGAGGAGACAATGTAACCACAGAAGCAAAGATTGGGTGGTGCAGCCACAAGCCAAAACTGCTGGCAGATTCTTCTCTAGAAATGACAAAGGGAGCACACCCCTACTACACCCTGGTTTTGGCCCAGTAAAACTGGTTTTGGACGTCTGGCCTCCAGAATGGTAAGATAATAAACTTCTGTTGTTTGAAGCTGTGGTAATTTGTTGCAGTAAGCTCAGGAAACTAATACCATCAGTTATGTCAAATGCAGCAGAGAATCCTTTAAAACAGGGGTCCCCAATTCCCAGGTCATGGACCATAGGTCTGTGGCCTGTTAGGAATGGGGCCACATGGCAGGAGGTAAGCAGCTGGCGAATCAGCATTATTGCCTGAGCTCTGCCTCCTGTCAGATCAGGGTGATTCTCATAGGAGCGTAAACCCTACTGCAAACTGCACATGTGGGGGATCTAGGTTTTGTGCTCCTTATGATAATCTCATACCTGATGATCTGAGGTGGACAGTTTAATCCCAAAACCATCCCCTGACTCTGTCCCGTATAAAAATTGTCTCCCATGAAACTGGTCCCTGGTGCCAAAAAGGCTGGGGACTGCTGCTTTAAAACAAGAACTGATGGCCTAGCATGGTGGCTCACACCTGCAATCCCAGCACTTTGGGAGGCTGAGGCGAGCAGATCACGAGGTCAGTAGATTGAGATAATCCTGGCCAACAAGGTGAAACCCCGTCTCTACTAAAAATACAAAAATTAGCTGAGTGTGGTGGCGTGTGCCTGTAATCCCAGCTACTCGGGAGGCTGAGGCAGGAGAATCACCTAAACCAGGGAGTCGGGGGTTGCAGTGAACTGAGATCGTGCCATTGCACTCCAGCCTGGCGACAGAGTGAGACTCTGTCTCCAAATAAATAAATAAATAAATAAATAAATAAAAGATAGAACTAGGCTGGGCACAGTGGCTCACGCCTGAAATCCCAGCACTTTGGGAGGCCGAGGTGGGTGGATCATGAGGTCAGGAGATTAAGACCATCCTGGTTAACACGTGAAACCCCATCTCTACTAAAAATACAAAAAATTAGCCAGGTGTGGTGGCACGCGCCTATAATCTCAGCTACTTGAGAGGCTGAGGCAGAAGAATTGCTTAAACCGGGGAGGCGGAGGTTGCAGAGCCCAGATTCCGCCACTGCACTCCATCCTGGGCAACAGAGTGAGACTTTGTCTCAAAAAAAAAAAAAAAAAAAAAAAAAAGAAAGAAAGAAAAAGAAAGAAAGAAAGAACTGAAAACTGTCCACTGGATTTAGCTTCATAGAGGAGGCCATTGGTGAACTTGCTGAAAATTGTTTTTGGGGAGCGTAGGTTAAGACAAATTTCAAAGAATTACATTCATCTTTCCTACTCCCAAAATCCACACCAGCATGGGAAATTAGGGACGATGCTATCAGCAGACCAGAAGCTGAGGAATTTCCCAAACAAAAAAATCATACCTAAGACAATGGGAGCTCAATACAGCGAAAGAAGTGATGACTGGAAAGATGAACATATCTCTTTTGCAGTCACATTCATCCACCTCTCTTTCACCACCCCAGGCTTGTGGCAACCACTAATCCTTTTTCCACCGCTGTA